GGCAGCTGGTCAGGTATTGTAATACATGCCTATAATCCCAGTAATCTGGGAAGCTGTAGCAGGAGTACCATAGGTTTGAGCCCTGTCTACACAACATAGTGACATGCTGCTTCAGAACATAGGGGGTAGGGTAGACTAGGATGTAGATGTAGCTCAGCATGAAGGCTCTGGGTTCAATTCCCAGAACCAGAAAAAAGAGGAGGAAGAGAAAAGGGGGAGGGGAGGAAGAGAAAAACCACCCAAGACTTTTGCATGTGCAGATGAAAGCAGTGTGAGTAATTTATTTGGAGGAGGCCAGTATAAGCTTGGTTTTAGATACAGTAAGGCATATTTTTGTGGAAGAATTTTCAACATATTTTTCACCATTTGTTGTTAAAGTCTGGAGCTGAGGAATCATCAATATAGGGATAACAGCAGCAATAGGCAAAAAGATGCATTCCCCAGCACGGATGTGGAAAAGACAAACAGAAGGAGGCAGGACAGCTGGCTCAACCTTTATAGTGTGCCAACAATTATAGGCTGCAAGAGTCACTTTGGGAAGTCCTTTCACACCCTGAGAGTGGCCGGTGCTGAAACGAACTCAGCAGAGTGCAGGCCAGAGAGGCTGCAGAGGACACTGATGCATTGGTGAGGCTGGAAGCCATAAACCCCTAGCAGGCTGCGAATGTATTCAGTGTGTCCTGCAGAACTGGCTTCAACAGGGCTAACACAGCTTCAGCAAACTTGTTCTGGATCTGTGTAAGTAAATGAATTGTGTACAGATTTATTATAAAAAGACATTTTCAGTTTCTTTTTGGCAGAACCAGGGATTGAACTCAGGCCCTTGCACTTGTCAGGGAAGCACTTATTCTACTGAGCCATCTCCCTGGCCCCCTAGAGATGTTTTTGTTTCTATGGTTCTGTCACTTTAAGGATGTTAACTAAATGGAATCATATAGTATGTGACTATAGTGCCTCTTTCTCTTGCACTCAGCATGGTTCTACCAAGTCATCCAAGCTGCACACATTAGCAGTCTGCTCCTTTATATTTCTGAGTATTTTTCTGGGGAGAGTTTCTTAGCTTCTGCAGGCTTCACTTTTCTCATCTATACAGTCTCATCTATACTTGAAGATTAAGCAAGTTCATACATTTTAAATAAGCATTTAGAATGCCAGGGAAATGCTAAGAACCAAAAAAAGGTCAATTATAATTATTTAGTCCTTGATAAATGTAACAATTTCAGGTGGGGGTGGGGGTGGACCCTTGTAATCTCAGAATTCAGGAGGCTGAGACAGGAGGATTGCTTTGAGTTCAAGGCCATCCTAGACCACATGGTGAGACCCTGTCTCAGAAAAATCAAAAAACAAAATACCCCCCAAAAAGTCAATTTTCCTACATTTAATTAACATTACTGAATGACTATAGCACAGTGCTAGAAGCCAAGAAATTCGTATACATGTTCCTTTTGTTTTTTTCAGCAGGGTGGACATCAGGTTGAAGCAGGAAGATCTTGAGTTAGAGACCAGCAATATAACCAGACTCTGTCTCAAGAAGGGTAAGAAAAAAGAAAAGCCAACTGTTATAGGACATCCATAATAACAGATGAAAAATAAAAGTGAAATAGCTTAGCAGTGAAGATGTTTTGAAAAGACCTGTACTTGTATCATTCTTCCTTTTTCAGAATCTGGAGAACTGCTATCAGGTGTGGTTAGTATTCTGCAGTGCACATTCAATCTTATTACTACTATTCATTTGCAAAAATCTCCAAGTTAAGCAACAGCAAAATGCTACAGTTTCACATGGTTGTGGTTTAGTCTATGAGATATGAGAGAACAGAAAATGAAACAAAAGACAAAAATGAAACAATTCACAAAAGTTAACAAGTAAAGCCATTTCCTTGCTCCCTTCAATTCTGAGTTCAACAACTGCATTCCAGAAAGGATGCTGTATAAATAGGACCCTAAGAAACATTTTCAAGTAGTACCTGACTGGCAATTTACTAAGATCATCAAAGACTGATAAAAGTTTACATCTTCAGGGTATTTTATGCACTACATTGTTAAAAGCTCATTTCAGTTACCTTTTGAGTGTTACCTATAGTCAAAAATTCCAGCAGAACAGAAAAGAGGCTGACTCTTAAAGTAGGCTTGCTTCTCAAATTAGGACTTTGTATTAAAGAAATGGAATTTTGCCTGTGTTGATTTTTCTGTTTGTTTTGCTCCTTCCTTCCTTTCTTTTCCTTTCCCTCCCTCCCTCTCTTTTTCCTTTTCTTTCTTTCTTCCTTCCTTTCCTTCTCTCTCTCTCTCTCTCTCTCT